TCAAACACTGTGTGTGTGTGTTAGAAATCAGGAATGGTGAGAAAACATTGTGCTTTGTAAATTTTTAGTCTTCAAACCAAACTTGGGTCTTCAGCCAACAGTTTAAATCCCGTCTGGCTAGCGCGCTTCCAATAATGTTTACACATTAGTTCGGTAGGCGTAGAGTAGACAGTCTTTTGTGGCTGTTCGAACACATGAGCCTTTACACTACGAAAACAATCCTGTCGAATGCGTTCTCGACTATATCTGGAAGTGGACAAGCTCAGAATGTGTTTCCTCCCGTATCTTTCTTTGTCCACTTGTGATCGGATTGACGAAAACACTTCTTAATACCAGGTGTAAACAGGGCCCAAGATTCACAATAAGATAATACTCGTCATTTGTACCATAAGCAGATGAAATCAGCAAAAAACATTGGTTTAATGTGTACTTGCACAAAACAAAGGTATGAATGCACATGCAGGAAAAGGCAATAGATGTAATACAATCAGATGTGTCTGAGAAACTGTTTAAAACATTCATGATGAAAATGCCCAGAATTGTAAAAGTCAACATGAAATGGCATTTCAAAACCAAAATGGCAACTGATTTAAGTGGAAAATAATATTCCAGAACAAAATGCAGGGTGGACATTAATATTTTATCCATCAGGAATTGATTGGATGATAGAAAGTGAGCGTTATACTGTACCAGAATGAAGCTGAATGCGAGTTTGCAAGTGTACTGTGAACGACTAGTGTCTGAATCATCTGCATCATCATACGAAATCCTAAACTGCCGCAGAATCATATCCTCCTTCTTAAATAAAGCCATTGTATTGGCTGAGACAGCTTTATGGGTTCTCTAATAGAAATGAAAGAAAATTGCTTTTACAGTGTACACTACTGTTCAAAAGGGCATTAATACTTTTATGCAGCAAGGATTAATTAAAGGGGGGGTGAAATGCTGTTTCATGCATAGTGAGTTTTTTACACTGTTAAAGAGTTGGATTCCCATGCTAAACATGGACAAAGTTTCAAAAATGAAGTTGTAAGTTTGATGGAGTAATTATGTTCCAAAAATACTCCTTCCGGGTTGTCACAAGTTTCGGAAAGTTTTTTTCGAATACGGGCGTGTGTGACGTCAGAGTGGCCGGAATTTCCTTATACGGGTCTTAAGGGCACTTCTCCCGGAAGGGCGCGCGCGCATCTGTAGCCTAGTGTGTGCGATAGTACGCCTATGCCCATCAGAGCGCTGGGCTCGGTCGGCTGCGCTGCAATTAAAAAATGGCACCAAAAAAGTGTGTTTTTGGTTGCCAGGGCAAGACAACACTGCACAAATTTCCAAAGAAGCCAGCGTTAAGGGACCTGTGGATGGATTTTGTTTTTCCAGAGCAGCAACGGAGTTGTGCAAGTGTTTTTGTTTGTTCCCTTCATTTCGACGGTAATAGTTTTATAAACAAGGCCCAGTTCAACGCCGGATTTGCAGATCGCCTAATACTTCTTGAGTGGAGAAGTCTCAAATCTCATCTTTAGATGGAGCAGTCCCAACGATAAAGGTTCACGGTCGTGCGTTGGAACCGCAGGCGGTGAGTAAAACTGCTTCAAATGTCTGTGAGTTGTTAACTATCGGCGTGTAAGCACAGCAAGTAAACAACATGATCACATACAGTTAATGTATCTATGGAGCATGCGATGTATGGTGTGCGTGTGTTTAAATACATTTGTTTAGCTGGCCACTGTAGGTGTCAGTTTGTTTATTGTAAAAATAAATAATGTCCTCATAAACCACGAGTCTGTCTGTTTACAAATGTTGTAAAACTCGCGCATGACATGGTGTTCTAAAAACACTGCGCTCAAGTTCAAATCACATCTATTTTTAAAAAACCGCTCGAGACCTTATGTTTTTCACCCATTTCACTGTCCATCTCACGTTTTTGTGAGCAAAAACGCGTTCTGTATGAACGAGCCCTTAGTATTGTTTAGATCCTTGTTCTGCATGGGATTACTATCTGATTATTAGCCATGGTTTATTTTCGGATGTCACTCACAGCTTCCAGACGCTCTCAACGCAAAAGCTTCGCGCGCTCGTGTTGTGATTATTTAGCTCCGCCCACACCGCACGCCTCCACCCGCTCGGGTTTTTCCGGAAAGACTCGGTACAGCCTATCTTTCTTTTATAAATATAATAAAACTAAAGACTTTTTGGAGATATGAAGGATGCAATACTACTCTATAGGTACTCAAGATGAACATGAGATTGAGTGAAACTGAGTGTTTCACCCCCCCTTTAAATTAATCAAAAATGACAAAGAAAAGTTACAAAGATTTCTATTTCAAATAAATGCTAATCTATTATACTTTCTGTTCATTGACTAATCCTAAAAAAAATGTATCATGGCTTTCACAAAATTATTAAGCAGCACAACTGTTTTCAACAAAGATAATAATTATAAATGTTTCTTGATCACCAGATCAGCATATTAGAATGATTTCTAAAGGATCATGTGACACTGAAGTAATGAGTAATGATGCTGAAAATTCAGCTTTGCATCACAGGAATGACAAACAAACAGTTTGTAAATTGTGATATATATAGTTTTTACTATATTTGGCTAAGCATAAAAGACTTCTTTCAAAAACATTAAAAACAAATCTTACCAACCCCAAAACCTTTGAACTGCAGTGTACAGTACTCACCACAGCAACAACTGATTAAGAAAAGCTTTTTTTTGATTAGCTAGAGCAAGACAAAACACGTTACACTTTTGATAAGGCATTGAGAAAGGGTGACAAGTCTCTGTACAAGAGCCAGACATGGAGGCTGATGGTAATAGGGTTATTGGTTAACTTTGTCCATCAGACTAAGTGACATCAGCAGAAAAGAAAACGTGTTTCAGATTATGAAGGCCAAATCACTAATGAATCGCAGGCAATAAGACCAGCAATATGTATTAAGAAAGTAAACGGCGTCCATTTTGTTTTCATGTTGACTTAACAAATCTTCAGACTTTCATAACATTCAAAAGACTAAAAACGGGAGCTAATCTGTAAATTCACTCAGTGCATCTCATGAATAATTACCGCCTCATCTCCTCACCAGGGTCAGCAATCTCAACCCTTGACAATAAGTCACCCTTTCATTAGCGCACTTTAAAGGGGTGACGAGCAAACCAATTATCTCTGGAGTGAGTATCAGCTCATTAAAGTATGCAAAGACACAAACCTAAAGACATACACTGAAAGAAAAAAACACATTCCAGTTCACTTCAAAATAAGAGTCCAGCACTGCAAATGCTTCTTAAAAAATAGATTGTAACAGCAAGACCGTACGGCGCAGGTGGTTTCAAATGTCACTGACGGATGAACAAGGACAGCGAGTCGACAAAATGTACATTATTCAAGCGTTTAACATCAGCAAACTCAAAATCCTCCACAGCGCTGAGCTAGAAGTTCAACAGCATCACTTTTAACTGATCCTGACACCTTCCTCTAATCAATACCGTCCACTCGCTTCAATAATTAAAGCAGAAAGACACTTATTTAATTTATTATTCAGATTATCCATGCAGGGTGTTGGTCCAAGTTATACGAAAAGATTTTAGGTTTTAATGAAAATATTTGCTTTTGAGAAGCCAGAGAAAATCATTTCGCATTACACGCCAGTTTATAAAGATCACACATCTACTTTGGAAAGATTCAGAACTTGGACAATTAATCACCAATCAAAACGAATCAGCCGGAGTTAATAAATATACCGAGAGGTGAAACAAGGGTTCAAAGGGAAAAGGGAGATAATCAGATCATCTACATCTGATTAGCATAAGCATCTGCATAATTTGGTTGCCCAGGGAGATTAAATGGACGTGCGAATGGTAGAGATGCCTTTTCACAGTGCTTTGAGACTTCATCTACTGTTCTTCAACAGTATTTAAGATTATGATTTGTGCAGCTTGAAGCGTGTCTGCCAGGTATTACCGAGCCACGCTCCAGTACCACACAGAGAAAACCAAAACCCTTCAGTCCGTCTCGAAGTCAGGAGGTTTCTTTCAACACGACTCCAGTCCTGTGGTCTCATATGCTGACCTCACATCACACTGATTCACTCTTTATAAAGCCACATTAATATTTCACTGCAGTTTGATTCAGCCGTCTTCGCTGAAACGTTACCTCATTCAGTAGTAGTCGTCGAAAGCTTATCCTAAAGCTCCAAAAGTACCAATTTTCTAAGAAATAATTGTGCAAGAGCTTCATACGAATACAAAGCCACTTTAAAAGATTAGATTCTCACGTTTGATTGTTAATATACAGTCTTACGATTCTAATAAAACATAAAAACCCAAACACATCCTCTGGAGGTTGCATATTGATTCTTCGAATCCGTAATGCTTGGCTGCGTCTCTTGAGAAATGACCCTTTACGGCTGCCATAGTTTCATGTATCGCAGGGCTTCAATAACACCGTCTCCGAGTGATTTCAACGGGAATCGACCCGTGTACCTGCGTGTGGTACAATCAATGTCGCAATGAGCAAAAGGTCAGAGGAGATCACATTATGCTCTAATAACACAAAGCAAGAGAACATCATACGGGGAAAAAAAAGATCTGCCACGAAAATAAAACCGAGAGAGATGGTTTCTTCACATCTGAGGTAACAAATGGAGGAAGCCTTCGGAGAAACAATGCCAGTATGTCATGTCCTTCTGTTTTTACTCTGATACGCTTCACATAAGCGCTTTCTTTTCCTCAGTGCTTGGCATCTTGTTGTCAGTTATCTTCTGAAGTCCTCTGCAGGCAAATTGAACTGTCAGACATCAAGATTGCAGTTTTTCCCCCCAAAATATCTGTTTTGTTCGTGGTTGTTTACGCCGTCTCATTCTTTATTGTGAATTGTAACAGACGATGACACAAATTTGACGTCATTGGCGAAAATTGGTGAGCTCTAACATCACTGTGTCAGATTAAACCGAGCGAAGAAGTGTCGTTGTTAGGTCAGATCATCGTCTGGGTTTGCGGAGGTCCAGTTACGGGTTCTCATCTCTTGTAGTGGCTCGGAGCGTCAGCGAACATGTATTTGAGTCTGTAGGCCTCTGCCAGTAGTAAACCCACCTCTTCGTTGCCCCAGTGTATTGTGGGAAGGTTCTGCAGGAGAATTAGCAGGCTCTGAAAAGACATAAAAACACATTCTTTAAAACCGGATTATTTAAAGAGCTCCGCCAATCTGCTGGTTGCAGCCTTCCACCTCAAAAATACTGTTTCCTGGCTATCACCTATTCTTAGAAATGCATTTTTACCGTTCTCAACTGGAAATGCTTGTAATCACGGCATGATTACAATGTTAGGATATCGTGATTCATGATTGGTGCTGCTCTTAGGTCACTGCTTGTGTGTGTGTGTAGCGTGTGTGTGTGTGTGTGTGTGTGTATGTGGGTATTCCACCACCTACAGCTGCTGTAAGTGCACAAGAACAGATCTATCATAATCAGCTTCACTCTCTGTAAGATCAGATCTCGGGTTCTTCGGTCTGGTAATTTTAGCACAGTAGCATACAAGCAGAAAATCATTGATTTTAAAGTTGCTAACTGCCTTTGAGCTTTGGGATAAAAAAATAAAATAATGGTGCTCATCACAACAGCCTATATATATTAGGGCTGTCAAACGATTAATCACGATCAAAAATTAAAGTTTGTGTTTACATAATATATGTGTACTGTGTATAATTATTTTGTATATAAATGCACACATGTATATATTTAAGAAAAATATGTTATTTATATATAAAATGTTTATATTTATATAAAATATACATTATATATAGGCTACATTCAGTCTATAAACAGTATATACATGCAAATATTTCTTAAATACACATGCATGTGTGGGTATTTATGTATTAAAAATAATTATACACAGTACACACACATATATTATGTAAACACAAACTTTTATTTTGGATGCGATTAATCACGATTAATCGTTTGACAGCCCTATATATATAGACCGAATAGTCCGGCATGAATATAAACTAAGTTAACTTAAAAGACTGATCAAAGATGTTTGACATGGTTAAATTGACTTAAAACCATTATGGCATTAACAATTCTCAGGCACAACAATCCTGTAAACAGAAGCTAATTTATCAGTAAATAATGGAGAAACACCTCAGTAATTTCAGATGGGACATTTACGATCTTTAAAGGAGTAAACTAATAACCATCAAAGCTCAACAAGTCTGAAATATCACTTACAAGTGAAAGTCCCCTCAATGTAAAATCTTATGTACGGTTAAAGCACCAGAAGTCTTTAATGTTTGGTAAGAAGAAAAAAAAATGAGTGGGGTCCAAAAATGTAAGACTACAACGAAAATTTGGGATCCAGAATCTAATTTAAACGTATGGAAAAAACTAAACTAAATAAAGTATTATTTAAAAAATAAAATTATATATATATATATACAATTTTATTTTTATATATTTTAAATCTACTATAAAAATGTAAATATTTAATAATAAACATTCAAATATTGAATAAAATATTGGTATAAAAGATTCCTATTAATAATAACAACAATGATAATAATAATAATAATAATAATAATATTTTAAAATAAAATATGAATATGTTATTTATACAGTATATTATTATTTAAAATCAAGTAAGGAAATCTGTGATACCGATCATGGGAAAATTCTTTAAATATTTTAGACTAAACTATCTTAATAAAATATATTAATAATAATTTGTTACTATTATTATTTAATTTCAATTAAGATTAATCATTTTTGTCTCAAATATTTGAACAATTTTCATATGATCGCATCACAGATTTTCTCAACAACAACATTAAATATAAATATTACTATTAATATTTATAGAAGTTTTTAAAAATCAAATAAGCAAATTTGTGAAAGCGACCATGTGAACACGATCATCAGTCCATAGATGATTAAATGTGATTATTTGAAACCATTGACAGCCCGAGTATAAACTCAAGCTCAAATAGCTGTTCATCAAACCCTTCTCTACCCGACCCGACAATGAGGCAAATATTAAACGAGAGAATCAGAGACGGAGCCGAGGCGTGGAGATCCTTCGAAAGAGAGCGTGAAAGAGAGAGAATGGGGGCAAATAACAGAACGTTCTCGTTTCGCGGGCGCTGAGGTGTGGGTGAATCCGCTGGTCTGTGAAATTCGGTTACAGCAGAGGCCTCTCCACTGGAGGGCCAATTATTCCGATAGTCTCGGGATAAGTGACGGCCGGGACGCTTTCAAGTGATGCATGCATGTGTGGGAAGACATGCAGACAGTCACATGTAAACGACCTAAGCTCGTTCAAGGAGCCCAGCGGCCGTGACATGCCCGAAACACGGAAACATATCGGTACCTGAAAGTCCAGCATGGAGAGGATCTCTTTACGCCATTTGATGAGGAAGGCGGCGCACACGTAGAGGTGGAAATGTGAGAATCCCTCTGACTCCGCCTGAGGATCAAGAGCAGAATGCACATGCTTGCATAAGTAAGCAGTCATTAAGCAGATGATTATCCAAAGTGACATACAGCACACTTATTAGAGAGACAACCCCTGGGGTTAAGTGGCTTTCTCAAAGGGCAAAATAATGATTGCTCGAGGTTTGCTCCTCGCAGGGATTGAACCAGCAACCTTCCAGTTACCAGTCTTGAGCTTTAAAGCAATAGTTCATCCAAAATTAAAAATGTTGTCATCATTTATTCACCCTCGTGTTGGTTCCTTTTAAGGCTTTTTGTCTTCATACCTGAACATCTTAAGGAGTTTTTCCCTCGCCACAGTTGTCTTTGGCTTGCTGGCTGTGGGATTTAAGACTTCACGAAGCTGCTTTGAAAAACTAAATAGAACTTGTGAAGATTTAATAAAGTCCGTGTTCCCCCTTACAACAGCAGTTTATAAAAAACAACAACATGAAAGTGCCACAAAAGTATGTGCTATATTTAGAGCCTTTGAAGTCATACTATACAGGGCTCCAGACTGATGTAGCACCAGTGCCACTAAGACTGAAATCTAAGAAATTTAAGACTGAAATTGAAGTAATTATTCACTATATTTTGAGAACCAATGATATCAAACCAGGCCATTTCTTAACATGAACGTAAAAGAGATTTGAAAGCTATGGAGGAAGAGGAAGAACAAAAAAAATATTCGAAAATGTAGTCTGTACCTCACCAGCGTTATTGTTAACTAGAACTATTATTATTAATATAAATATTAGATGAAAAAAAACTAGAAATAAATTTAAGTACTAAAATTACTAAAACTAAAATGGAATAAATTAAAGCTAAACTAATACAATTTTTTCATTTTAAACTAAAATTAAAATGAAGAGACAATATAAAAATAAAAGCTAATTTCAAATATTAATAAATGGTATATAAATAACACTAAAAGAACAGCCATATGAGCCACTTTTATGGTGTTTTAGCATTTTTTTTGGCACTGACGGACAGGGTCGGTATAAAAGGTTGATGTATAGACAAGATCTGTGTGAGGATTCTTCCGTCTTCATTTGATTTGCTGCTGCTCCAGCGAAGAAATAAAAAGAACCGCTTACTTCCATGATGAGTAATATGAGTTTTAAAATATTATTCATTCAGTTATTCAGCTACAGTCGAGTGCCTACACACAGAGCTCATAATGTAGTTTTACCATCTATCTAATTTATTGGACTGGGAATTAGGTCGCGTTAGTTATTCCCAACATATCTAAAGACACCACTCATTCCAGCGCTCCGCTCCTCATTCGTCCTCTTCTCTCCCCAGCATCCCCCTCTACTTGTGTTGTTTACAGTGTGGTACATTCAGTCACTTGAGAGGCAGCGAGCGGTTATAAATAGCTTTGTTTGCTTTTGTTTCTGTTGGTCCCTCTTGAAGTGAGAAGAAATGGGGGAAAGAGGAGGAGAAGGAGGAAAAAGTTGGATTTTTATCAAGACAAAGAAATTGCAAGAACTAGAAGCGATTCTAGGAGTTCAGTTTATCAGTTATCAAATTATGAGTTGTGTTGGTCCAAAGGAGTTTCTTGCTTTATGTGCGAGAAGACACCGGGTTCAAATCTCACTTCATTATTATTTCTCTAAAATTTAACTACATTAACAAATAGAGGACTTTTGCACTGTGAAAAAAAATAAAATATTTAATAAATAAAATATATAATAATAAAAGTGGCACTGTTAACTAAGACATGTTTCTAAAAGGACATTTTTTTTTTTAAATTAACAAATTAATTGTGTATCTTACCTAATTTATTTTAGTAAAATAATAATGATTATATATATATATATATATATATATACCATTTAAAAAAAATATTTGTCAGTGTCACATGATATTTCAGAAATCATTTTAATAGACCTCATTCAGAGCAGCACATGACAGGTATGAAAGCAAGGCTGTGAGGGATAGACTTACCGTGCTTTCAATGGCATCCACTGTAAAAAGCTTCTCGATCACTTATAATTTCCAACAGCTCATGTTGTCTGTGATTTCTTTTGTCTACTGAAATTTCTCAGAAAGATATTTTTGCAGTGTTTTGTCAGCAGAACAATCCAGAAACACATTAAATAACAGTACGACCCACTGAAGAGGTGTATGTCTATCCCTCACAGCCTTGCTTTCATTCCCGTTAAAAATCAAAGATGGCGCTGCAGTGAATAAGGTCTATATGCTGATTTGCTGCTCGAGTAACATTTCTTATTATCAATGTTGTAAACGGTTGCGCTGCTTAATATTTGTTTCTTTGATGAATAGAAAGTTGAAAAGAACAGCATTTATTGGATATCGAAATCTTTTGTAACATTATACATGTCTTTACTTTTGATCCCAAACCTATTGACCCCAAACTTTATAACCGTAATTTGCCAGTTAGTATATTGTTTCTCCTTTTTCACTCTGATTAGTGGACCAAAACTAAGTGTAAGTACCATAGTATCACCAATTGACACAGTTGCTGTAGGGGATTGCTGTTGCTGTACTTGTTTGTAGGGGATAAGAAACAGACAGTAAGAATGGCTCAAGAGACAAAGAGAGACAGGAGAGATAGGGAGCCTTAAGATGAGTGAAGACTAAGCAACAAAAGCAAAAGAAAGAAGCGTTCGTGATTAAGTCTCTTTCCTAGGAACGCATCCGTGTTCGCTCCTCCACCTCTCAACAAAACCCATCTCACTAATGGAGAGGGCGGGTCCCGTAAGATGCAGATGCTTTAGAACATCAGTCAGACATTAGCATGACTTTCCTTTTTGTCTTCACAGCTCTTTCTCTGTCCTTCTTCATTTTGTTCACCCACATCTCTTTCTTTCTGGCCTGAGCTCTTTGTGCACCTCTAATTGATCTTGAGGAGTGAGTCTTTGTGCCAAACGTGCAATTACAGGAGGGACCTGATAAAGGAGTCCAGGAGAAGTTGAGACTCTTCTCTGCCTTTAACCTCATATGAGCGGATAAAACCCTCTCCTCTAATTAACTTACTCTGGTCCGCCAAACATGCAACATGTGTCTGCTGTGCTCACTGGATAACGTCAATGAAAGCATTCATTAACAATTAACCAGGAACATATTATTCAGTGTTATCGGAAAAGCCCAAATTGCCATTTTAACAGTGGTAGTTTATTACAAAATGACAAAAAAAGTCTAATTGATGCTAGATGGCAACAAGAAATCAAAATGTACCCAAATCTGCTTTCATCAAGCCATGTTATCCAAAAGAAAAAGAAAAAGAAGAAAAAAAAAGTTTTGAAGCAGGTTGTACGCATTGTGATGTCACGATAAATGATGGCTGAGCTCATGAATATAAATTGAATCTTGCAGATGCTGCTACATAACCTGGACTGCCCTCTCATGTAATCTCATTAACATTCATGAGCCAGTTCTGTAAAGTTGCGCTAAAGTTTGCTTTATAGGCGCCCCTTGTCAATGTGGCATCGTTCTGCTTTATATTTTACATGACCTTTTACCATTTTGTTCAACATTTTTGAAAGAGATCAACAAATTCCCAATATATATTGATATGGAGATCTCACACTGCCCGGCCAAAAAAAGGTCACTGTTTGGATTTAAATATGCAAAAGCTTAAGAGTGTATCTGGATCATTATCGCAGTGATTTTTATGTTTCTAGCATGTGATATGTTTGGCCACAGTTCTTTAAACCCTGTGTGTATATTTTCATTTCTCAAAGAACCATGTAGAAAGACAAATCATGGCTATATTCTAGGATGACAATGTCAAGATTCGTCAGGCTCAAATTGTGAAAGAATGGTTGGGAGGGAGCATGAAGAATCATTTTCACTCATGAAGGAGTCCTGACCTTAAATTCATTGAAAGTCTCTGGGATGTGCTGGAGGAGACTTTACAGAGTGCTGGACTCTTACATTATCAATACAAGATCTTGACAAAAATTAATGCACATCTTGATGGAAATTATATTTATTTTTACAGCATTTTATGTTATTTTTTATAACATTAACAGGTTTATTTATTTATGAAATAGATGATCTGCATGTCTCTCTGTAAAGAAGGAGACCTAATCAGACGGCAGTTTGGCGCTGGCTCTGACATACACACACGTATAAGTGCACGCTTTTATTGGCCCACTATGTACACTGACATACATGCACACTGTACTACTTGTCCAGTCTGTCAGAAGACCAGTGCGGTTCGCCAACAGGACAGGGCTCCATTACAGCCACTACCAATCATCAGCGAACCCTTCCGACGGATTGCCATGGACATTGTGGGCCCACTAGAGAGGAGCAGTGCAGGATACCAGTACATCCTTGTCATTAGTGACTATGCTACCAGGTACCCAGAAGCATTCCCTCTGCGAACCATCACAACACCAAAGATTATCCATGCCCTTGTCCAGTTGTTCTCCCGTGTAGGTATTCCTGACGAAATTCTTACTGACCAGGGGACGAACTTTACTTCACGTCTAATGGCACAGTTTCGTCGCCAGTTGGGCATCTCCGGCATCAAGACTAGTCCATACCATCCACAGACAGATGGCCTTGTGGAGCGCTTCAACAGAACACTGAAAGGGATGCTAAGGAAGTTTGTTGCGGATACGGGGAGAGATTGGGATAGATGGTTACCCTTTCTGCTCTTCGCTTACAGGGAAGTACCACAAGCTTCGACAGGATTCTCTCCATTTGAGTTGCTGTATGGATGGCAGGTGCAGGGACCTCTTGATTTGCTGAGGAAGAGCTGGGAGGTACCTGCCTCCAAACCCCAGGAAAAGGGTATCCTGAGCTATGTTCTGGAGATGAGAGAACGACTGGAGCGTTACAGGGACGAAGCCAAGGTTAACCTGAAACAGGCTCAACAAAACCAGAAAAGGTGGTACGATCAAAAGGCCAGGCTTCGCCAATATCAGTCAGGACAAAAAGTACTACTGTTGCTACCTTCTTCAACCAACAAACTACTGGCGAAGTGGCAGGGACCCTACACCATTAGCCGGAAAATGG